AAAAAAAAAAGAAAAAAGTATAGTCATTTTACCATACCTTCTCTGTATAATCAGAAAGAATCCTTGTGTGTTTAGTTCATCATAATAAGAGAACAGTAAACTTGCTAATGCAGTTTAATCTTCAATATACGAGGTGAAAAGCAGATTAGATGAAATTTCAGTAGACGTTCCTGTGTATTTGAAATTACTCCAATTTTTTTTCTTTGTTGTGCATACACACACATTTAGTGGGATTCAGGGGAAGGGGAATAGTTCCCTGGGGTGCTGAGTTCTTGAGATGCAGTTTATGTTTGTGTGGGTATCCAAATGCATTCTCTCCCCTCTACCTTAGGTCCTATATGTACTCTCTGCAAGTGGAATACTTCCAAACGTCTCCATCATGTAAGAACCATGCACCATTTTAATATTGTCATAGTCACATTTTATATAATTAATTTTATATTTTTGCATTTTAATTTATAATTTTATAGACTTAATTGTATAGATTTTAAAATTCTTTATATACATTTATTTCATTAATTTACTTTTACCTATTTATTTAGCCTCACATGCTCTCAGAGTGCTTTAAGAGCTCGGGACATCCGATGGTGTGTACGCCCCACACTCTCTCACCCCAGCGCACCTCCTCTGGGTTGTGTGTTTCCCGGCGTAGAGAGCTGCCTTCCACGCGGCTCTCGCAGGGGGTCGTGGGGACCGAAAAGCTCCTTCCAGGACACGCTGCCTACGGATTTGAGGGGATAGAGGACGTGGCTTGGGCTCTGCTGCCCTCCGGTGGTCCCGCAGGGAGGGTCCGAGGGGGGTGGCTGTACGCTCCCTGCCGGGACCGCCGCCCGCCCCTCGCTTTCCACCCCGATGCAAACCGCCCCAGAACAGGGCAAGCAGGACTCCTGAGGTGCCAAGCAGAAAGCCCATCCTTGTCTCTATCCTCACCAGCTTGCTGCAGCAGGAAAGACGTAAAAAAATAAATGCATGTGCTGAAGAAGGATGAAGGATGCAGACGAAAAAAAAATGCATTTTATTCTTGTATTGGAGCCATCCTCGCCCAGGTGTCACTTTTGGAGGCGCTGGCACACACCCATAGTGAAAGACAGGCAAACTATAGGAAGGCAGAAAGGAGAGAAGATGTAGACAAGGCAGAAAGCAGAGCAGCTTGTCCACATCTTTGAGCAATGAAGCCAGAAACGCAGCCTGAGCTTCCTTACCCCAAGTCCAGCTCTGTCTCTTAGGGCAGTGGTTTGCAACCTCTGCTGGCCTGCAGCCAGCTAACCCATGCCAGGCAGCACCGCTCTTTGCTCTTCCTAGCAATATCCGATGTCCCCGTGGGCAACTTGTTGCCCTTGGGTCATGGCTTGGGGATTACCATGCTGTATACCCACACTGTGTTGCCCACCCAGCACATCACGTAACAGATCCCTTTAGCCTGATGTAAACCACAGCAAGCTCGTATGCCATAAGGAGCAAGACAACGAAAGAAAACATTGTGTTATTCAGTTTGTGGAAATTATGCCAGCTTGTCTTCTGCATGATTTTCTTTCTCAAGCAGATTTTGAGATTGCTTTTCCTAGACAAGATAATTGGTTGGTATTAATTCACTATAGCCATAAACACACACATTTGGATAATGTTATAAAGGCTGCATTTAAAAGGAAGGAAGAAAAAAAAAAAAAAAAAACTGAGCAAAGGTTGATTGCTCCACATCATTATCTGCAATTCAGTTCTATTACTAGTGAATTATTAACTATATTAAGCTAACTTTGTTTAAGTGCAACTAGTCAAAACAAAAGCATTACTATGAAAGCATATAAGCTCTATGCAGGCCAAAACTACAGCAAACTGCATTGTCTAGAGCAAGGAAGGAAGTCAGAAGGTAATAACACTGCCTCTGCTGCTTCTCCTGACTCCGCAAGGTCACTTACCTTATGATGCCTGGGGTTTCCAAACATTCCCAGTCCTATCGTGGCCAGCCACTAAGATCTGAAATGTGTGTGCCACTCCTTGTTCTGCTCCTCTGTCATGGGCCTGGCAAAATCAACACCATGTTTATAGCACCAGAAGTCTACACTCTGCATCCCTCTGTCCAGCCCAAACCCTGGAATCTCATGGTTTTCCTGGTATTTGGGCCTTACACACAGCAACCTTAGCACAACTGAAACCGTCATTCCTGCCTGGATGTTTACAAACTGCAAAACGGGTTTGCTTGAGAAATGCCATCGAGCTCCATTTTATCTCCTTATCTTGTGTAAAGCCATCATTTTTTCCTAGTTTCCAATATCTTTTGATTGCATCTTAAAGCTGAAGCTTCTTACTTGCTGACATTACATAAACAGGCAGATGTTAATTCAAACTAGAAGTTTATTTTGTTATATTTATCCAGCAGCTCATAACGGTGATTCATTTTATTCCAAATCTGTGCAAGGAATATGTGTTATATTTATATACCACTAAAGATGAGATTTAATGATTCCAAAGAGTGTTATATCACCAGGAAGAGTCACAGTGTTCAAAAAAATCAAGATTATGTACCAGGGTAGTACCTTTTGCATTTATCATGCTGTTAGCTGGCAGTAACATGAGACCAGACTCTATGCAAGGTCTATCAAAAACTGCAATGTAGGAGACGCAGAGCAAAGACAGGGACACAAAGATGGTTTTAATATCCCTTCATGCCACCCACACTTCCAGTTCCAGCTCCAGGTTACTAAGTCCTTTCCTTCACCCCCATGGCATTGCCACCTAGGAGCTCTGTAGCTTTATCCTCCTGTACATCTTGGCCTGAATGTCTTACAGCTGAACATGGGAAATGCTTCCCACAAATTGGGAACTTATAAATAAGTCCTGTATCCTACTGCACCTGCAGGGCACAGGGCCTTACCTATGGCTTGAGCATGACTTTCATGTTTTTAAGCAACATGAAACTGCAGCAGAGGAACCCGAGAGCAGCCCCTGACTTTGTGGTCATTCCCTTTAGAGCATGGTGTTGACTATAAGCTCAGCCTTACAGGTCCCCCACCTAATACCTCCTTAAAATCTGGAGTAAATAAGATTGTCCAAGCACCACGTACACTACTCTCCATGCAAAGCCCTCTCTGCCACAGCCTCAGCTAGAATGCCTTTTGTTTACAATTTCACCAGCTGAAAGACCCTTTTGAGAACAAAAAAAAAAAAAAAGAGGGGAAAGAAAGAAAGCAGAAGAGGCCGCTACGAGGATCTAATCTATGGCTAAGACCACCCCTTGACTGGCAGTCTGCATTGCCATCAGCTGTATGCATCTTGAACACATTTGGGTTTAGATCAGCTGTCTGTGCCTTCTCCCTCATTAACACTGATAAAAGCGATGGCCTCTCCCGGGCGCGCGTCATTCCTCAGCATACCAGCTGCAGCTCTAGCTTAATGCATCCTGTGGGCTTGGAGAATTAATTAGTTCTGATAGTCACCATGTTTCAAAATGATGGCTGTCATAACCCTGCAGATAAAATTACACATCCCTAGAATTTTCCACATTGCCCATTCAGACTCTCCATAGGCCACCATTGGCCTCCTCAGATGTATGGCACTGGAAAGATTTAACTTGCCAAACCTTTTTTTTTAATCTCTTTGTTATGTTCCAATTAAGTCTGCATTAATCAAAGGCAGTATCTCCCAAATATTCCCCCAGCTCCCTTTCCCCAGGCCTCCTCCTAGGCAACTTGATGGTTTGTGCCCCCCTTCCTCCCACCTACAATTAGCATTCAGACGTTTCTCTTGGCAGAAGCAAAGCCTCCCTCCCTGTAAGCAGCTTTCTTCTTCTCAGCACAGTTTCTT